ATCTGTAGAAAAGGAATTGGCCTACCAATGAAGTCTGCCCCTTGTGTCTTCAAGCGTCGTAAGACTGCACCCACTTGTTTCTCCACTGCCGTTTTACACAACAAGTTTGGGCGCACTTCAGATCTTGGACCGGCGCCGATTTCCTTATCTCCGATAACACCTTTGCCTCCACTCGGGAGTGGTGGTTGCAGACTAGGGCTGACATTCCCAAGAACATCCGAAGGAATTTTGACACAGTGGTGATCTTGATGCATTGGAGGATATGGAAAGAAAGAAACTCCAGGATCTTTGACCAGGTGGCAGCTTCGCCGTCCGGCGTTCTGGAGCGGGTAGTAGAAGATGTGGCCATGTGGAGGGCCGCCGGATGCATCGTCGATCTGCCAACTTAGTTGTTGTGGGGGTGTTCATGTTTTGCAAGACCGGCCCTCACCTGGGTGGTCCGAGATCGTTGCTGTAGCGGGGGCGCCTCTGATTTTTTGGAGGCCGACCCTTGGCAGGGCTGTTTGTAAACTCTGGGTTCAGTCTAAGTTTCCTAGAATGTCCTTGCTGTATTCTCTTTTCTATCTAATAAAGTTCGGCCAATGGCCTTTCGATTCGAACAATTCCAGGCTGCCGAATGATGCCTTCGTGTCTTCTTAGTTTGTATTGGTAAGGTCCTACTGTAGGATTAGCAGATCCAATGGCGCCATGATTTCTCGAATTTACGAGCGCCATCCCATTAGGAAGGTCCAACTATCCATATGGTGTGCTATTGGTAAAGGTACATGGCGTTGGGTTAGTTATAGGGTTCCTGGTTAGCTCCACGGTTAAGTTTATTTGCTTTCCTCACTGCCTATAACGCCAACAAAGAAAATAGAAGAGTAAAAGATATGACTCCTTTATAGGTTTACACATTTTAGTTCCCATTTCAACTTATACTGTTACGATGATGTATAGACAATATATTTGAATTATAGACACACAGTGTTGGGCATTCTCGTTGCTTTTTTGTATGGTCGAAGTATGTCTCTTGTCATGACAACGTGAGCAATATTTGGTTCAGCTGGTGGACCAGTAGCCCCTATTTTCCTAGTGTATGGAATTGTATAACCACCGAGTGTTAAAATCATCTATCTATTACTCCCTCCGTCTCATAATATAAGAGCGTTTTTTACACTACACTAGGGTAAAAACACTCTTATATTATGGGACGGAGAGTGTATTTAATTTCTAGCTGCATGCCTCCATAATGCCCAATTCAAAACTGTAGTACACGGTTTGCATCTTGAATCAATGTCTACATCATATTTGTAACATGTTCCATCCATCTCTGTGTCATGCAGCAGCAACTGCACCGGCTTGTCATCGACGGCGCCCAAGATGAAGATGCTGGTGGTGGCCTTGAGGGCGGTGGGTTTACCTTCAATTGTTTATGTGAAACCACGGGCGGCCTTCCCGTGACCTGAGGCCTGAATAGTAATTATTTGAGCATGGTTCTGCCATTTTTTGAGCTATAGTAGATCAGAAGGTCTGGTTCTTGGTCTCATGCTGCTGCTAATCTTGTTCTTGGTCTCATGCTGCTGCTAATCGTTGTGAAATCATTAGTGTGCCGTACTACACACATATACTAGATCGCAAGTAAAGTTGCGGCTCTGGCCATAGCTTTGGTAGCTTTTGGCTTTCCTTTTTAGTTGCTTGTAAGGAAACCATATGTTTTTTTTTCTTTTGATGTTTGTAACAAAAACTACTGTTCTGTTATGCGAGTACGTTAGTTAACCGGGCTGTTAACTACATCTCTTTTAAGAATCTTTTACTGGTTTTTCCAAAGAATTTTGGAGATGTTTAATTTACTTTTCCCAGTAGAATTACATCTTCTTGTTTTAATCAGTCATTCAATTCACTGTCAACAGAAAGTATTTTTACTTTTAAGATAACCACCATGACTTAATATTTGCAATCTGACTAGCTACTCCTTTGCAATTCTTTGCAGTGGCGTGGGTACAAAATCAGATCCACAACTCTCGTTGGTGCGACCTGGCAGTTGTTGCAGTCTCCAGCGATGGTGCTGTGTCGCATTGCTTCCACAGCTGACAACACAGATAGGTTATTGTGCCATAACCTCTGCGTCGACTAACACGACCACCTTCTCCGCTATCACTATTTAGGTGAGTCCCTGGTCTCTCCTTCAACCTCTGTTTGCTGTGAACTTTGAGACATGGCCACTTTGTGTGCTGACCATTGAGCCGTGGTTGATTCTGTGGTGGTGGACCCAAGCTTTTTTTGCTTATAGTCTTCTAGCTATTATTTCCCCCATTGTTTACTTAGGTAGTTTGATAAGGGTGACTTGTGTTGGTTCAATGTTGACAACTCTAGGCTGCCCTGGAGTAGTGGTGGAGATGGCGAAGCAGCAGGCCATCCTGAAGTGCATCCAGGATGAGGCCTATGTCTAGGTGAACCGAGTGTTCATCCGACAGGAACGGGTGGCGACCGACGCGCTTTTCGTCGAACTAGACGCAAAAGCGGAGGCCGATGCAGAGGAGCCGGAGTTGCGGTTGGCGCCCATGTACCCGGAGCCAAGCACGGAGATCGTGGACATCTCCGACGAGGACTAGGCTAGTGTAAGTTAGTTGATCTATGTACTATGTAGGTTTTCCTCTTTTGCATGTTTTGTATGGATTTATGGTTTCAAGTATGAGGTATCCGAATGCAGAGAAATAAATTTGAGGTGTGACTGGTCACTGCCCGTTGGACGTGTCCGCGGGCTTTTGAGGGCCCGGATTAGCTGTTCACGGCTGTAGATGCTTTTAGAAGTTGAAGGTTCGATTTAGCTTTCATCTTACAGATTTAAGGTCTGTTTTGGAATTATCATTTTTTTGGCGAACTCAGTCCTCCGCACACCATCTGTTCGAGAATCACCACAAGGCGTGCCGTCAGGGTACAAGGCGCGCCTCCTGCACTGAACCATGTTTCCATCATGTGTGTGGACATCGATCGATGGAGCTGCAACTACTGAAACTGCTGCTCGCCGGCTCCCATGCCTTTTGCTGATTGCAATCTTTGTGAGAGGAGCACGCAACCATTCCTCTTCCTGGTGGCACGCAACCATTCCTCCCACTGGGATGGAGACAGGGTCAACCGGCCGGTTCCGGCGGCTCACACTAATTGCCATCTACTAGAGGTGCACGGTGCACCAACTATGCATACCCAAACCAAGTAGTAGTACCCTTCTCGTCCGTAGCTAGTCCGTCCGGCCGGGTCCTCCGCCATGAAGAGTGGTGTGTCCACGCTTCTCCGGCTCCTCTTCCTAATTTGCCTTATTCTAGCAGCCAGCGCCACCGGAGAGGGCGATGACCAGCTCCTCTACTCCGGCTTCACCGGCGCCAACCTCGCCCTGGACGGCGCGGCCACGGTGACCCCAGGCGGCCTCCTCGAGCTCACCAACGGCACGGACCAGCAGAAGGGCCACGCCTTCTACCCGACTCCCCTCCGCTTCGCCGGAGGGTCTCCCGGCGCCGTCGTTCGGTCCTTCTCGGCCTCCTTCGTGTTTGCCATCCAGTCCATCTACACCGACCTGAGCGCCCACGGCATGGCCTTCGTGGTGGCGTCGAGCACCAACTTCTCCTCCGCGCTGCCCGGCCAGCTCCTGGGCCTCACCGACGTCCAGAACAACGGCAACGGCAGCAACCACTTCTTCGCCGTCGAGCTCGACACCATCCAGAACAAGGAGTTCGACGACCTCGACGCCAACCACGCCGGCGCCAACGTCAACGGCCTCCGCTCGCTGCAGTCCTACTACGCCGGCTACTTCGACGACGACGACGGTAGCTTCCGCAACCTGAGCCTGATCAGCCGCGAGGCCATGCAGGTGTGGGTGGATTACGACCACAGGGTCGCTCAAATCACCGTCACCATGGCTCCCCTCAACGTGGGCAGACCAGTAAGGCCGTTGTTCACGGCCACCTACAACCTCACGACCGCGGTCACAGACGTCGCGTATGTCGGCTTCTCCTCCGCGACCGGCACGATCAATGTGCGACACTATGTGCTTGGCTGGAGCTTCGCCATGAACGGTCCGGCTCCAGCCATCGACATCTCAAAGCTACCAAAGCTTCCCCGCATGGGACCGAAGCCACGGTCCAAGGTGCTGGACATTGTTCTGCCAATAGCATCCGGAGCGTTCGTCCTCAGCATGGGCGCCATTGTTCTCCTGGTGCTACGGAGACGGTTTCGGTATGCCGAGCTGCGAGAAGATTGGGAGGTCGAGTTCGGTCCACAACGGTTCTCCTACAAGGATCTGTACTGTGCAACGGAAGGTTTCAGCGACACACACCTGCTTGGAATTGGAGGATTCGGGAGGGTGTACAAGGGCATCCTTCCAGTGTCTACTAGAATGGAGGTTGCTGTGAAGAAGGTTGCACACGACTCGAAGCAGGGCATCAAAGAATTCATTTCAGAGGTTGTCAGCATAGGACGTCTCCAGCACCGCAATCTAGCGCCATTGCTTGGCTACTGCAGACGGAGAGGTGAACTGTTTCTGGTGTACAAGTACATGCCAAACGGGAGCGTTGACAAGTACTTGCACGGTAGAGAAGGCAAACCAATTTTGAATTGGGCTCAGAGGTGGCATATTGTCAAAGGCATTGCATCATGCTTGGTCTACCTTCATGAAGAGTGGGAGAAAGTGGTCATCCACCGGGACATCAAAGCCAGTAACGTCCTCCTCGATGGCGACATGAATGGAAGACTCGGTGACTTTGGCCTCGCAAGGCTGTACGACCACGACACCGACCCGCAAACCACACACATGGTGGGAACCATAGGATACCTCGCTCCTGAGCTAGGGCATACTAGCAAAGCGACACCTCTCACCGACGTGTTTGCCTTTGGAGTGTTTATTCTTGAAGTTACTTGTGGGCAGAGGCCTGTCAATCCAAACTTAGAGGATAGCCAAGTATTGTTGGTCGAATCGGTGCTCGATCAATGGAACAAGGGATCGCTCCTTGATCCCGTGGATAAGCAGCTTGGGGGCAACTACAACGCCGACGAGGCATGTGTGGCTCTAAAGCTAGGCCTGCTATGCTCTCACCCATTCGCCAATGCAAGGCCTACCATGCGGCAGGTGATGCAGTACCTTGATGGCGACATGCCATTGCCGGAGATGTCACCGACGGATTTAAGCTTTCAGATGATGACCATAATGCAGAATGGAGGATTTGATCAATTCATCATGACGTATCCTTCATCAACAGCGCGTATTGACAGCACATCCGTCCTTACAGTTGGGAGGTGAATTGCATGATCCTCACTGTGATATGTGACTTGAGTCATTCTGCCTTCTTAGTGCCCGGTTAATTCGAGCTTTGTGTTCTTTTTGCTTGTCACTTTTGTACGATGTTTTTTTTTCGAAAAGGAGGAATACTCCCGGCCTCTGCATCTGGACGATGCATATGGCCACTTTATTGATTATTAACACAAGACCTTACAAAGTCGTACAATAGTAAGACCAAAGCCACCATCTTCGCAACCTCTGTCACTACTCCTATCTAACTGATGAAGGGCGCTGATGGTCTGGGCCTAATACCAAACAGACCTCGCAGCCAAACCTAACATCTGAGACCTGAGGTCCCAATCAGGACTCCTTCCGGGTATGGGCACCCACCAGTTCGGCGTGCTCGTCAACCAGGCCCCCTGCCGGGTATGAGGCCGCCGCAGCCACGTACCATCAATCCATCTTCAGAGCTGAACTGTTGCATGAACCGTGCCAGGCCTCACTGCCATCGACGCCACCACGACGCCAGACAGCGCCACCATCCTGCACTCGTCCATCATCACACGCCCACCGGCGAGACCCCCGCTGCTCCATGCCGCTGAGACCCGCCGTTGTCGACGTGCCAGATGCCACGCCGCTCCTCCTCTTGTCCCCTCCAGCCAACATTTGCTCCAAAACGATGCCCCCAGGAGGGAGAACGACATCGAAACGTCGCCATCGTCCGATCCGGTAGATCCAGATCAAGGGTTTCCCCCGGAGCCTTTCGATCAGGTTGACGTGACCTGCAACGACGATGCCTCGAGAAGGGAACAACGTCCGAGACGCCGCCATCATCCGCCATGACCGCAGTCAGACGCGATTTTCACCGGAGGCCACGGCGTCCCGATCTCGCGGTTGGCTGGAACGGAGCCCTCCGCCGAACCGGTGACGTTGCCGCCGATCCGATCCCACCGCCGTGCGACGCCCCGATGGAGAACCCGATCTAGATCGAAGACGACCTCGACCGAAACCCTGCCACCAGCACCGCCACACCGCGCCACCTCCTCCTAGCCCAGTCGCCGCCGGATCCAGCCGTCCCCACCTCCGGGAGACCAGCCGGACGAGGCGCCCCTTGTCCCCGATCTGACGGCCCGCGCCGCCGCCACGAGGGCCAGAGGAAGGAGGGAATGCCCCGCCGCCGCCCGCGCCGCGCGGGCTTTGCCCGGCGGGCGCACTCCGGCGGCGGCGAGGGGGAGGCGACGCTGGGGAGGCGACGGCGGCGGCGGCCGATCGATCTCCCGAGGCGCGCGCGCGGAGCGTGCCGCGGGAGCGGGAGGTGAGCAACTAATGGCGCAAAACTGTTACTGTTGTGCACTTCATCTTTCTCTCAAGTTCTACAATATACATGTTGCTGTTTGGGTTCTGGGGCCACTTTTGTACGATGTAATGGATGTTTGATACTCTAATCTTAGCAAATATGGATGTGTGCATCGTCTGATGCAGAGGCGGGGTAAACCGTCATTTTTTTTTAAATGGCTCTATCCTTCACTAAACCAACATATAATTACAATGAAGGACATGTACTAAAACTGCTAGGAAGTGTAATAACTGGTGCATACATACTGTAAAGAAAAACATGTGCATATATAGAATATACTTGTTGGCAAAATACATGTATTTATTGGCCAGAATTATATGGACAACACATACAATTACTGCCCTTGTGACTAATTCTAAAGAATTAATATATGGTCATATGTTATTCAAAATAACTAGCTTAGTTTCTTTCTTGAAAGATCCAACGGATACTGGCTTTCTATATATCAAGGAGATAACATTTTGCACATTTCTACGATAACGTGGATATGTTAATAGCAAGAAGATGCAAATTATATCCAGGCTCTACACCATCACGATATCAAAAACTAGTCAAGACATTGAGAATGTAGAAAAGCAAATTATTAAAAAAAAATGCATAGCTCACGCATCAACACGCAACAAAACCAACCACAGACCTTGGCAACACAGACATGGAGTCTTGAAACCACCTTACAAAGTTGATCTCATCCAATGCTACAGTCTCCTCAGTGGACCGACTCCTCTCCCTCCTCCCTTCGCTTTCACATTTCTCTCATGCTTTTCCTGAAACTCCAGCCATGCAACCGGATCGCCCTGGGTTAGCCACACAGAAAAATGGCTGTCGCAGTAGACTTTTATCAGAGAATAGACAAGCTCTTCTGCAGGCACCCGTTTGACTCTACAAACAACACGTCCATCAGTTTGGGACCGTCCAACCCGACATGGAGACGTGCATGATGTAGGTGTCCACCGTGTAGCGACGGCCCAGTCCTTGGTGTTGGGCGGATGAGGATGTCCTTACATACAGTATGTAGAAAACTCTAGGCTAGCTACATTATATGTGCGGTGCATACCTAGCCCGGACCACCTCAGATTCAGCAGAGAAGTCCAACACAAGTGCATATGCAGACCGCTAGCCAGAGGACGCCGGGATTGACCATGACGGATCATGCATACCCAGTCGTTTTAGACGACTATCCAGACTTATCACCAACAGAAGTGTACGCATGCTACTCTACTTTCTGGCTTGATATTCAAAGGCTCTTCCCTCGTCTCGGAGGAGAGAATTATAACAACGTGTTGCTACTTGCTAGTGGTTGCCGTCTAAATCAGTCTGATTTAGACGGTTCCACAAAGATGTTCAGACTTCAGCGTCGATGGGGAGACAATTTTTCAGTATCTAGGAAGAAAATTGAACCTGTTGGACCACTTTCTCTTCGATTGCACACGTGGATGGTGATGTGTCTCTTGCTTGCGACTTAGCAAAATTACTAAGTACTATAAATTTTATGGATTTACTTCTTAGTAAATAATCATGGGCAGTTGTTTGCCACTGTCACGCGCACATACAGCAGTACTACTTAGATAGGATAGCCACACCGGTACTAGTTGTTTATCAGCCACAAAATATCGTAATATTTTCCTTGCCAGAGAGCTCAAGGCATGGCTCCGAGGGAGCACATCTTCTTCCTCCTCTATGCCATCCCACTCCTCGTTCTTCCCTGTGCTGCATCCACAACCAGCAACGACAGTTTCAGTTTTCTATACAACGGCTTCTCCGGTGTCAACCTCACCCTCGACGGCAGCGCCAAGGTGACGCCGGAGGGGCTCCTCGAGCTCACCAACGACACCATCAACCTCGGCCACGCCTTGTACCCGACCCCGCTGAGCCTGCGCGGGTCGCCCAACGGCACGGTGCGGTCCTTCTCCCTCAGCTTCGCCTTCGCCATCCTCTCCGTCCACGACGGCATAAGCGCCGACGGCATGGCCTTCTTTGTCGCCCCCACCAAGAACCTCTCCAACACGTGGGCGCAGTACATGGGCCTCCTCAACAGCGGCAACAATGGCAACGCCAGCAACCACATGTTCGCCGTCGAGCTCGACACCACCCAGAACAAGGAGTTCCAGGACATGGACAACAACCACGTTGGCATCGACATCAACAGCCTCAACTCCTTGCAGGCCTACCGCACTGGGTACTACGATGATGAGAGTAGAGCCTTCAACAACTTGACTCTTATCAGCGGCAAGGCGATGCAGGTATGGGCTGACTATGATGGGGTGTCCACGCAGATCAACGTGTTCTTGGCTCCTCTGGGAGTAGCTAAGCCGGTGAGGCCGCTGCTTTCATCTCCCTACAACCTCTCCACAGTTCTGAGAGAACCATCGTACATCGGCTTCGCAGCCACTACCGGCGCAATCAGCACGATCCACTGCGTTCTCGGCTGGAGCTTCGCCGTAAACGGCCCTGCTCCAGCCATCGACACATCTAAGCTCCCAAAGCTACCACGTCTTGGCCCAGAGCCTCGCTCCAAGGTCCTGGAGATCACCCTGCCTATTGCCACGGCCACGTTCGTCCTTGTAGTAGGAACTGTCATCATTTTGTTTCTTCGCAAGAGATTCAGGTACAGGGAGCTGCGGGAAGATTGGGAGGTCGATTTCGGGCCACACCGCTTCTCCTTCAAGGACCTGTTCCATGCCACGGAAGGGTTCAAGGAAAAGAATCTGCTTGGTGTGGGCGGGTTCGGCAAGGTATACAAAGGGACACTCCCAAAGTCCAAACTGAAAGTGGCGGTGAAGAGAGTGTCTCACGAGTCGAGGCAAGGGATGAAGGAGTTCATCGCGGAGGTTGTCAGTATCGGCCGGCTCAGACACCGCAACCTTGTGCCCCTGCTTGGCTATTGCCGAAGGAAAGGTGAACTTCTTTTGGTTTATGACTACATGTCAAATGGAAGCCTCAATCAGTATTTATACTTTAAAGATGGCAAGCCATCACTGAATTGGGAGGAGAGGTTACATATTATCAAGGGTGTCGCGTTCGGATTGTTTTACCTTCACGAGAAGTGGGAGAAAGTTGTCATACACCGAGACGTCAAGCCGAGCAACGTGCTTCTGGACAGTGAAATGAATGCAAGACTAGGTGACTTTGGTCTCTCAAGGTTGTACGATCATGGCACTGATCCACAAACCACACATATGGTTGGAACCATGGGATACCTGGCGCCTGAGTTCGTACGGACGGGCAAGGCATCCCCTCTGACGGACGTGTTTGCATTCGGCATATTTCTCCTTGAGGTTACTTCTGGGCAGAGGCCTATCAAGCAGAACCCATTTGGCAACAAACATACATTGGTCGACTGGGTTATAGAGCGTTGGCACAACGGATCGCTCATGGATACCGTGGATCAGAGACTGCGGGGTGACTACAACATCGATGATGCATCATTGGTGCTGAAGCTAGGGCTTCTGTGCTCGCACCCTTTTACTAGCGCAAGGCCCACAATGCGGCAAGTCATGCAGTATCTCGAAGGTGATACACCACTCCCAGAGCTAACACCAGCACACTTCAGCTTCACTATGCAGGCCTTGACGCAAAACAGAGGATTGGAATCACCAAACTTGCAATACCCTCAGTTATCGACGAGTTTTGCCACTTTTTCCGACCTTTCAGGAGGAAGATAACA